TGGTTTTAGGTTGTTCTGTATCCAACCCCCGAGATCCTTCTGTGAAGATTCTGCGGGGAGCCTTATATCTTTCAGGTGATATGTCCTCAGGCTCTCATTTGAATGAGAGTTGGTTGGACGCAGATGAAGGGCGGCACACTTCTCCACATTGAAATCTAGAAGCCATTTCTTCGACCACGCTTGCAATCGGTGCAGATTATCTTGAAGGGATCTCTGATCATTCGGTCCCTTAATGACTTGCCAGAGCTTAACGCCGTCTGCAAGCATTATGTTGCCGCAGTCGAGTTCCTGAAGGCTGTCGTTAACGTAAAGGATGAAGAGCAATGGTCCCAGAACTGAGCCTTGCGGCACACCACTGGTCACATTCACCCATTCTGACATATCATCCCCGACACAGACACGTTGTTTCTGACCAACCAGAAACGCCCTAATCCAGTTCAGAAGATCTCCCCGGATGCCGATGGCGCTCAATTAGTGAAGAAGACGTTGGTGCGGGACAGTGTCAAAAGCTTTGCGGAAATCGATGTATACGACATCGACCTCAAAACCCTCTTTTAGAGCCCTGGTTCAGGTCTCCAGGCAAGCTAGCAGATTTGAGAGGCAGGAACGTCCTCTCCGGAAGCCATGTTGAAAATCCTGCAAGATGTTATATTCTTCACAAAACTGCTGTATAGAGCTCTTTACTAGAGCTTTCATCGTTTTGCAAGGAGGCAAGTTAAGCTAATAGGTCTAAAGCTGCTTGCTGTCCTCCTGCTACCTACCTTGTGCAATGGAACGAGGTCAGCTGTCTTCCATTGTGAGGGCGGCCTTCCTGTTCTCATTGACAGCTCAAAGAGAGTCTAAAGAGGCTTTGACAGCTCCGTTTATAGCTCCTTAAGTATCAGCCCGGGAATTCCGTCGGGTCCAGGAGACTTATCAGGTTTTATTTGACTGAGGAGGCGTCTGACTTCTTTGACGGAAAAGGCGACGGTTTCAATGACGGCAATATCTTGGCGCATTTGAAGCTCCAGGCTGTCTCGGTCCGTTTCAAACTTCTGATTGCCTTCTGGGGACTCCTCCGTAAAAACCGATTGAAAAAAAAGAGACAGTAATCGCACTTTCTGTGGCCCATCAACTAATAAGTTTCGGAGGCTATCCTTTAGACACGCAATTTCGTCCCTATGTTTCCTCCTACTGCGGATGTACCCGTAAAACTTCTTGGGACATGTAATGGATTCTGCTATCAGTCGGCGCTCAAAAGAAGTTCTGGCAACCCGAATATGCTTGCGGAATTTATTGCGTTGATCCTTATATTGGGCGAATGACCTTGGATCTCGAAGTTGCAAATTATTTTCCCAGAGTCTCTGTTTCTTCTTCATGGTCTTTTTTTGTCGTCGGATTAACCAACGGCCGTCGCGAACATGGTCTTGTCATTTTTATTGGACAATGGAAATCAATTAGACGCTCTATAATCCCGAAAAAGTACTGCCAGAATTCGTCTGAATCTTCTGTGTTGACCAACCAGGTTTCCTCCAAAAGAGTGCGTCTCATTGCGTTAAAGTCACCCGTCCAAATATTTCTGCGTCTCTTGATTTTTGATTGTTGGTAGGATAGGAGAGAGCACACGCAGGTAAAAGCAATATGATCGCTTAAACCGAGTGGAGGTTGTGGACTCACTTCCCTTATGAGTCCTTCTTATTTACTGAAAACGAGATCTAAACAGTTAGATCGTTGTCCTTCTCTCATTCTTGTTCCGAATTTTATGTGCCGAATGAGGTATTCATTCAGGGAGAGTTGTAGTAGCTTGTGGTCAAATGACGTGGACGGGGGGTTTGTTAGGGGAATGTTCCAGTCTATTCCTGGAGCGTTGAAGCCACTTAGAAGTAGCAAGTTCTCCTGCTTACATAACAACTCCAGTGCACTAAGTACTTCCATATCGGCGAATTCATTCGAGCTGGGAGGCCGATAGACAACACACAGGTTCAGTGTCGGTAATTGTTTGATACATATCTTGCATGAAATTATTTCGAAATTTCGGGGCGCCCCATCGGAAATTTCTCGTTGACAGCACGCAATTTCATTTGACACATAAATAGCTGTGCCTCCTCCTCTAAGCTTAAATCTGTCACAACGGAACAGTTAGTAGCCTTCAATTCTGACTTCGCTACTACTAATTTCCTCAGTCAACCATGTCGCTGTTAGGACAATTATGTGTGGCTTCTGTTCAGAGACTAGTAATGTGAGTTCATCTAGCTTGTTGAGAAGACTCTGACAGTTAGTGTAATAGATTTCTAGACAACGGCCACTGGTGCTGGCAGCCTCAGGAGTTGGCATCTTTGCATCGGTTAGGCTGTCAGAATGACGGCCTTCGTCCAGAGAAATGTCCTTTTGACCTGAATTATTTGTCCGTTCTTGATTTGTAGGTGTGTTTCGCCGCTGCTTCTCAGCTTTTCCAGCTCCGTCATCAGCTCTTTCATTTTCATTCTCTCTTTTGGCTCGTAATACGGCTAAAAAAATTTCAGGATGCTGACCCCGTAGAGATGATTTTCTCTGTAACAGGAGCTAGGCCTGTGCTTCAGTCTCCAAAATGACTTTTAGGGGTCGAGGCCGTGAATTTGAATCGGATGCTGACTGACTCTTGCCTATTCGGAATGCTTTGAGAACACTTAGTGACTCATCGTCTCTTAACAAAGCTTTCGCATACACTTGAAGAAGGTCTAAGTCATGCATAACTCTCTCCTTTGGAATTGTTGCCGTTTATTCGGGTAATCCTTTTATAGGTACATTTTGCTTGCGATTGAATCTAGTGCTCGTTGTTGTCACACATCTTTTGAGTGACTGAGCGTTCTTCTCCAGTTTACTAGTTTCGCTGGTTTCGGATGAACAATTATTTAAGGGATAAATAAAAACGACCCATTATTTCAGCTCAAGTTCTGTCCACCTAGACCGTGGAATATTTATTCTGCTCATGCTGACTTTGCAGGATTAAAGCTCGATTTTCTTGGTATCCGCTGATTTTTTAATAATTTATCTTGACCCACTTCGGTTAGACGCGAACGCAAATAACATCTGAACTTCCTTACACCCAACTGAAAGAAGACTGTAGGCAGTGAAGATTGTGGTGGGCAGTAATCATGACCGGTCTGGAGTTGTAGCGGCCGAGGACGTCAAGGGTAGCACAAAAAACAGGAAGGAAACGCGGAGAAGAGATCCTGACGAAGGTAGGCCCGAAGAGAACTGTTAGCATCTATTGATTCTCTTCCACACGCAGAAGAAGAAGAAAGTACATCAAGCATGGGATATAGTATAATAGAACGAAGTGGGAACGGAGAATGAGTATAATAAAGGTTAGTGTACACATGGAATGGAAAACTGCGAATAGATGATCTATGTGGATGGGTTGGCGACCCTGACATATTAGCTAAACAGCCGGTGGGGATGCAGTTCTGTGGGCAACTGCGGGGAAAGGCCGAGGTGGCGTCGACGTTGAGTGAGGAAGAGAGAGAGGCGAGAGCGACGATTCGTTGCGAGAGGGGGTGTCGGCGGTAGCGAGAGGAAGGGACACAGGCCGTCTTCACCAGTACGCAGTTACGCCATCTCCATCTCAGGTCCGCACGCCAAAAGTGTCACATCACTCAAACAAGCCTGTTCAAGTCACGGGGCGTTACAGCGCCATTGTTCACGACCTCGCTGCCTCAAGGTCATCCACCCTTCTGCGGTAAGCCGATCCAGACGCGCTGGCCTGAAGTCAAATGACCGACAGCTCGGGAATACCTGTGTCTGCACAGCCGCAGCTACCCATATGACCACTTGAACGCACTTCCTCCCTGCAACCACAACCTAAGCCACGGGACACCACCCCTCGGCAAATGCTCCACATACTGACTGGCCACCACTTGAGCTTGGCCCGCGAGCCTACAAAAGCGACTGCCACAACTGTCCCAGGGAGTCTCAGGCATGGCTGGACGCAGTCAACATCAGCCCTGGCTTCGCCTGGAAGGGCAACTCCGGGTTTTCTATACATCAAACCCCACATTCTCTCGTCTTCTGTCTTCTCCTTCCATTCTGCGATTTGACCTGGTGGTGGTAGCGCAGAGAATACACACTCACACCGCTTGGTCCCAACAAGGTGTTACTGTCATAATATATAGGATTTCTGCTTTTTTAAAAAGTAGCTATAGAAGTAAACGTGTCACCCTCTTCGCAAGTTTATAAACAGTATGATTTCTTTGGCTTAGTTTCCTCTCCGAACACAATAACGCGGAAATGGGTATGGGCACATCTTGTGTGCCAGCAGGTGCAATCAGACAATCATTTTGCACATCCTAATCACTCGAATTTTGCGTGATAAGTATCTTATACTGTAGGAAGGTATGTAGTCAAGCTATTTGATTGTCCGATGGTCATGGATCGTCGAGTTAGTAAGGCCTCGGAGCGACTTTTACTTGTGGACACAATTTAGAATTCGGCATTATGACAGTGAGGACCAAGAACCTTGATACGTGCCAAAAGCTGGAGAACTCAATAAACAGAAGGTAGTCAAAAACAGGATCATATTTTAATACCTCTCAACCCAGCCGGTGTGGTGATTGCAAAATCGATGAAAAGTCGCGAGCGGAAAAAATTGAATTCCACAGTTGTCGTCGCTACAAGTCAACAAACACAATGAAAAGTGCAGTTTGCACCTTTTTGTTATCCAAGTTTCTTGCGTGACAATTTTTTATGGAAGGCAATTTCAGAAAACATTTAACCCAGAGAGCATGATTCATGCGCACTAGGAGCCTAGTATCTCCTTGCACATATTTGGTGAGACTTGTTTATGGACGGATTGGATTTCCCCTGTTCAGGCTTTTATGGAAACTTCACGTAAATTCAAATGTTGCATAATAAATTAGAGTCCGCCCTAACTTTAGCTACTTGCCTCCTTTGAACCTTGGCCTTTTGAACAGTTTGGTTTTTTGGCTTCAGAGATCTGGGCTTAGTTTGTGTGTTCTACTTCTCTCGTCAGGTCCTGTTTAGCCATGTCTGGTCACGACAGAAAAGCGGAGCTAGAACAGAAGAAGTTGAAGTTGGCGGCACTTCGTGAGGGCCGCTTGAAACGTGAAGGAATGCGAAATGGGCTTGCGCAACCGAATTTTAAGTTGAACGAAACGCCTGCTGGGGATGCTGAGGCTATACTGAGAGACTTCGGCCTTCTAAACCCGCTAGATTTGAACGGCAAGCACAAACCAGACGAGCTGACAAAGTCAGCCAGCACACCGGCCTTCTCGTCCAAGTATTTTACATTATCTGCGTTTAAGTTGTTAGACCCGAGACACATGATCGTCCCAAGAAATTGGGCCTGTCTAAAGTCAACGAAGTCAATATCATACCTCACGAAGTCGTCACTTATTCTAAAAACACACAAACGGTCGTTGAAATGTCATGTGAGACTCCATGTATGCATCTGCCTTATCCTAAAGTTCCTATTTCAGCTGTCACAATGGACACTTGGGCGGCCGCGACCCCACTGGCCCATATGGGATCTCCTAAGGGCATGACTAGTCTGGAGTGGGATGACGATATTTTGGAAGGCACGTTACCCTTTTTCTTTTGGAACCACGGTTTTTGATTTTACGGGTTTAAATAATCTTTATTGCCCTCCATGTCTGCCGCCATGCGTCCCCGCACACCGGAAACAACAGTATGCCCAGGATCGAAAGCCTCGGTTTAATTTCGCATTAATCACATTAACAGATGCATTCTATCATGTGGGCTCCTCCTCACTGAACGGCTAGTTAAGTAAAACCAATCTTTTCACAAGTGGGTCGGAGGAATGGCGCAAATCTGTCAAAAACCCTACTAAACCTATTTTAGTTACTGGCTACTAGGGCCTCGCATTTTCTCCAGATCTCAACTAGAGCGTGTCCTACCAACAGTTAACTTCTGCATTTCTTGGTGTTGGCGAAGTATAACGACTTAGAATCTACTCTTAATCCATTATTAGGCATACCGACTGTCTTCGTTCTTCGACCCCCATATTTGCTATACCCTGTTTGTGTAGGCCGGTAATGTGCTGCGCTTTGTCTTGACTAAAGCATGATCAACAACTTTTGATAGTCATTTGTCCACCTTCACGTTCTTCAGCACTCCCCTACGACGAAGTTGCTCCCCTTCCCGGAGAAGTTGCCCACCTCTTCAAGAATTATGACCTCACTACACCGTCTAAATTCTTTCGTCCAGAATCTCCGCCCCGCCCACCTGGTAAGTTATTATTTCAGTTCCTTTTGGACAGCTGTGGTGGGAAAAGAACACTTGACCACCGAACGCTTTCGTAATGCGAACCATTTATCTGACGCACTGAGGTCTTTTTATTCACGTTGCAATGCTCGCCTGGACGAGGTGACGGAATAATTGGACGTTTCACAGTTTTCTTTTTGTTTCAATGCATGAAAAGGGGTCGCAACCATCCAGGGTTTTTTCTGTTGGAGATGTTTGTTTGTTCGTGTTTTTGACCTGTGACCTGTTTTGTTGGCATGTTAACTGCCTCTGCTTTGCACTGGCGTCTCCCACTAATTCGCCACAGTGGAAGGTGGTCATCTGTCATGCGGTTACCTGACAGTATGGGATCGTTCCAAATAGCAGAGTAGTGTGCCTTTCTTCAGCTCTCAAAGTTGGACCTGCTTTAGGTTTACCAGACGTCCCCCCACCCCCTGTATGATTGCCACCTAGCCATAGACGGTAATCTTCTCATGTAGTCCATTTCAAACTTCCACAGGTACGGATGGTCAATAACCACACTTAAATCTTAGGCAGAACGGAGCATCGAAGCCTGCGCTGGGATAAGGCCTGGACGCTCACAACCGCCATCGGAAATCCTAACACGATACTGTTCACCAACCAGAACACTTATTCCTGTACGTAACTGACATAGTACGCGTTAGGAAGAATTTGCCAGGCGAGGGAGCACGTTTAGCTGCTTGAACTTTAATGTCGTCCTAGCAAAGCCACACTACGACACTTTACCCGGCTTGCTCCACACGTGTACATTTTATTGGTATATTCGAATTCCAATTTCAGAAGCCACTGCTGGATTGTCCTTCAAGTGATGTGTGGATTGTGATTTCGTGCACAGTCGACCCCCGTATTCGCGGGGATTAGGGACAGCTTCCCGCTAATAACCGAAATCTGCGAGTATCTGAGACCTCTCGAGGAACGCTTACAAGTGCCTCTTTTACTGGCCAAACACCAAATATGCCTTAAACTGTCATCCCAAAATACTTTACCATTATTTGCATTGCTTGCATCAACATTAATATGGGAAAATTAGTAAACCACATTTTGTCATACAAGTTTATTTAGTTGCGAAAATAAATGAAAATAATTAACGAATATTTTAGGTATGCTGTACGAAGAAAAGATAAATCCGCGGATAAATTAATCCGCGAATAGGCGTGGGTCAACTGTGTAGTAGCGGATCTCGGTGGGCATGCGCAGCACCATGTGAGAACAAGAAGCTCAGTTCAGTAATGATCCCGGATTTTCTGCAAATCCCAACCAACTACGTTTGTACGAAAACAGACTTGATGAGCAATTTGTCTGGACTGTTCGCAAGAAAATGTCCATTCCCACCAAAGCGAATAATTTGTCATACTTACGTCAATATAACGACTAACTACTCTCAATACTAGCCAGAACTTTACATCACTATGTTGGACCAGAGAAAAACAAAAGGTAATGTACTAGATGATGGGCTCGTCGTCTGGCGTCTTGTTCTTTCCTTTCGTACTGAATAAATGTTTTTGGCAGGTCTGAATAATTCAACTGATTCAGTTGTGAAGAACTCGGCGGCCTCGGTGGGATTGTAATCCCACGACAGCAAGGTCAAAGTTTGAGTTCAGCCAATTCTCTAACCACCTGAGATACGCTGCCGCCGAGTCTTTCGCAGCTTGGTCAAATGAGTTATACATGCTGCGTTTACCAGGTGCTCAGAAAAGGTTGGTTACTTTGACGAACTGAAAATTGCATAAAATGCCTAGTAACACCCACGTCCCGCCTACTGCCCAGCTCTCATCTGTGGTCCCACAAAATTGTGTTGAGACCATAGGTCTTATCCCAGTAATCGCTTAAATTGGCGGATATTCGATCTATCTAGTCAACACCAGCGGTTGTATGCATGTATTTCTGTCAAGTCAGTTGGCAGCAAAAAGCTGTCTCGTGGAATACGTAGACGAGGCCTGTCTCCAGGTCAGTCACTGCGCTAATATTAATCTCTGAATGTCCAACCTTTATCCCGCCTTTGGACACGAACAGTAATCAAGTCATCGCGCAAGCCACTCCACCTCAGTCACCCGCGTCCGCGTAAGCACTACCTAGTCTCCAGTCTGACGGCAGCAGCGCTACAATCTGCGCCACCGTAAGGGCCCTTATGGACTAGGATTGGGCGCCTGAGACACGTCACACTGATTACCACTGTAGTGATAAAGTAGTGGATATTATCACCATTAATTAGAGCAGGCCAGCTACCATCTTGTCGCATATTTTCGTGCCTTTTATCATTCTCTAAAGAGGTAACACAACGGCTGGACAGTTCAAGTTTGCATCCACCAGGCTGCCGTCGACTCATTCAGATTAGCTTTGAAAAAACAAGGCTATCAGGCTAATGCCGTCATACGGCACCTTATTTGGCTTTCGGTTAGGACTCAAAAGCGCCGAATACTTATTGCATTTACGGAGTCCTCACAAATGCTGCTGCCTGGTCATCCACGTTCCTACATATTTCCCCGGCTTCAGCAAAGGGAACTCTGAGTTTAAAACGTACTGTATCAGAAAAAAGCAACCATAATACAGTCTCCTGCCTAGAGCCCAGCCTGTAACCACTACTTAATATGTAAGTCTCCGAACACAATGTGCCTTTGATACTGCCGCTGCTTCGTCTGACGGGTCTCGCATTCCACTTTCTTTCTTCCGCGTCCGGTTGCATTCAATCTGTCTAACTGACACCTTTTGCGCCCTGGAGTCCAGTACACATCCTACACAGGGCGTCCTCACTCTCTCTTGAACATGTCTTGAAGAGGTTCGTAATAAACGGTCCGCCATTTCGCATTTCTCAAGAATGAAGCGATTTCGGTTTGGTTTGGTTATTTCAATGCCCGCCCCCTCGGCCACCGAAGTTGGGTTCTTTGTCCAGAAGTTCAGATCTCGGGATCATCATCTTCCGTTACAGTCGTGTCTTTTGAAACCTCTAGAGAATTCACTATCTCGCCCCAGGCACCAGTGGTATATTTTGTGGTTCGCAGGGATCCAGTACAGGCAAAGACCCTGGTCTCACCGAATAGTCCTCAGCCGGGAGATTCTCGATGCTCCTAATGGTATTTCCTTCTTACAGGCACTTGGTTTACCAATAATCCAATTTTCACACCAAAGTGCTTGTGAACAGTCGTGCTTCTTCCCACTCATTATAGCACGCGAATTAACAGAGGAGGACAAGGAGGAGATGTTCGCGTCGAAGAAGTTCTACGATTTCTTTATGCAGGCTTCTCGCCTGATTGAGCGCGCCCTCGACGAGGACACAGACATCTTCTTTGACTACAGTGGAGCTAATCGCGAGGACACGTGAGTGTGATTTTCACATGTTCACTCCTAGGAAAGTGTGGAGTGTTTGACTGTTTGACGGGAACTTTGTCAAGCCTCATCCGATGCCTGCATTTGCATAGTGCTTTCAGTGGTCGTAGCCGCATCCATGTGCTTACTTTTTTCACACCAAAATTGAGGAATACTGATGTGATTTGCACCCCAAAGCAGGCTCTCTCTGTTATCTGGTGGCAAACAGGCAACAATCTACCTGGCGATCTACTCCTCTTGTCGTTTTATCACCCCGTAGCGGACTGCTCGTTCGCATGGCCTGGTACCAGAAGACGGGTCTAGTTTGCCGTTAAGATTGCGTGTGCCTATTTCAGTGTGAGTAATTACCTAACCCACCCTAGAAAAGACCAGCTCATGCGGAGATACTGATAAAATCTCGGTTTTTCGTTCTGTCGCCTCATCGACTTGACCTAGATATACACAGTGAGTATGAATACCTGTTTGTGTTTCCGTTCTCTGGTTTTGGTCGGGGTATATGACAATGTGTCCCTTGTCTTTGTCGATTTGTCTCTGATATAACATCTTTATTTCTTGTTTGTGCCGACAGTGGGAAGGATCAGGAGCTTCTCAAGTTTCATCGAGACTTCTTTGATGAGCACTGGTCTGTCAACCGCACAGTCACTGCCCTGGACTGGTCTGCTGTCTACCCGGAGCTCCTTCTTACCGCCTATGACGCTAACGAGAAGGCCACCCATGAACCCGAGGGTGTGTGTTTGATTTGGAATTTGAAGTACAAGAAGACCTCGCCGGAGTACGTATTCAACTTCCAGACCGCCATCACTGCGGCCATTCTGACGGAATTTCATCCCAGTCTGGTGATTGGTGGAACGTACACCGGCCAGATAGTTCTGTGGGATACGCGGTACGTCACCCTTGGATTAGGACTGCCTACTTTTGTGTGTTTTCTACTGCTATAATGCACTGACGTTAAGCCTCTGCGACCCTGTTCAGTGTGTTGACTAGTTTTACCCAGAACGATGTCGATTTCTGCGTCTTCAGGTCATTCTCGTTAATTTCATGTAGATCTTTTTTCTATGTATCATGTCTCGGACAAATTCTTTTTTAAACGCACGACAGTTCGACCGTCGTTGTCGCCAGTGTCCACCGTGTGCTTCACGGCGAGGTGAAGCAGACACGGTGACTTGCGCGTGAATTTAGTTTATAGGGAGTGTAGACTTGCGCTGCATCTACCGCACTGTATCCTCCTCCTCCTCCCCCTCCCCCTCCCCCTCCTCCTCCTCCTCCTCCTCCTCCTCCTCCACTTGGATCCGATTTCAAGACAGATTCGAGGAGACCGGAGGTAGGAGAGGGCGCAGGTACCTGATGCAGCTAAAACCCGCACCTAGGCGTTCCTTCATACCTGGTCCACAACTCATAGTAGTCAAGATTTTCTGCACCATGAAGGGGACGACTTTGATCCCAATTGGCATGGCATGGACTTCTAAGTGGGCGTGCAGCCGCATTCCCAGTCTTGGCATTTGTTGTGGGTGCGCAATTCCAGTAACGCATGCCGGACTCTGATCAAGTCCCTATGTTGGTCCAGCAATTTGATCCACTTGAAGCGGCGTTCGTCCGCGCCCTGGAACTTTGCATGGCCAGCGTGATCGGCTACACGTTAAGCGCTCGGTCGAGTACTGCTCCTTGGACAATGCCGTTGCGTCAAATTATCTGAGCCGTTATCACGCCACTAATCAATAAATGCGATGAAATTGCGGCCATTGACGACTCGCATGTTATCGATCGGCCGGTCATCGCAGCCATGGAGACCATCTGCGATGACTATGCGGTTAAACAGCAACTACATCCTATAAATTCGACAACCATTGTGCGTCCACCACTCCGATCTGTTGCCCGCCCGCCCTTTACCAACCCGTTTGCCTGCTGACTATACCATTGCGTTCTGGTAACCGGGGCACTGTTTAATTGCTGGCTGTGGAGTGCTCCTTACTTGCATACGACTAAGCAATTTCGTATTTTATAGTACCCTGGCAATTGGGCCAAAACAGTCGCCCAGCACTATGATGACCTGATCCCGAGCGTCGAGTCAATGAACGATCCGGATGTATGAGACTGGTACTTGAGAGCATGGCATCTTCTGGAGTTGTCGATAATATGAGCACATTTTCATTCAACTGCGGGTAGTCCCGATTGCAAGGAATATGCAGACACTGAATCCCTGAAAAACCAACTAAACCCTGGGCTAGGAAGGAGAATGCAGTGTCATTTTTAACGGTTTCTGTGTGGTGCTGAAAGTGAGGGAATGAGTTAGGCTGCTGGGACAAACTCTGTACCAAAAAACCGCAGCTAGTTCGAAGTGACCCACATCGTGACGCAAACTTGGCAGGCGACATAGCCTAGATCCTGCCAGCTGTTTCCCAAAACCCACAGCATTGACTGCATTTATCGGTTAGCTAGAGCCTCAGGACCGCGTGCGCTATTCAAGGATGCCTGAGCAACCTGAAGAGTCCTATGGACCCTGGCAGGCCGTGAATCGTATCATATTGGGTGTTATAGTGGCATCCATTTGCAGGCCGTCGCACTGCCAACAGCACTTACTTCCAATGACCTCAAGTCATTACTCAAACTCCGCAATTTTTTGGAAATGCGCCTTTTGTTTATTTTTTTAAATTAGCGCGCTCATTTCCGTTGACATACAAAAGCGTACGATAAGACGCTAGACAAAAATCCAAACAATTTTTTCGTCTCCTTGCATTTCGTCAGCTTACTGTCTGGCGTGCTGTCCCAACCGTAAAACCCCCATTACCACCATTCCCGTATGACACGATCTACAGTCTACCGACTGTTAAGTGGGCTCCTTCACCCTACCGTTACCGGACCCTTCTTATGGTCGCTTATATAGGCATTCGTTTATCGTGACTGATCTGACCGACCCCCTGCTGTAGGCTAAAAACTTTATGAAAGATTGTTTTCCTGTGTAGTTATTGGCTGCCGACCCCGAGCCATGTTGAGCCACATGGAAGGCCAACCGCGTAGGGCTAGACCCCTGGGCTAGAGATGTGCTAGGAGTCAGCTTTCATCACCCCCCCCCCAGGCCGCCTTGACGCCGTTTCTACGCAGGGTCGGTTCAGGACGAGATGATATCCGGGACAATCTAGTCTTTAGGTTGGCTCAGGACACCTCCCGGACAGCTGAATCGGCACAGGGAAGGGAGATGCGGCAGTTGACGAGTTTCTAGTCCTGACCAGCCACATAGGCACTCCGTGGCGATGTCAGTAGAGAGACGGGTACGGGGAGCTGAACATCGGTACCATCGACCGAATACGAGGTGGCAGCATAGCTCTGCTAAGTGTGCCAACCATGTCTAACATCTGTACGAGCTTTTTGACAGCGACCTGGTTTACTCGCAGCTTGGTCTTCAAACGGACCCCACGCCGGATGAATACAGCGCCTGCCTAATGAATCTAATGACCGATTTAATCCTTTGAGTGCACAACGAGCATGGTCATTTTTGGTCTTCACGGAACGTTTTGCAGACCCACGGTTACGCATTCCCCGAAAAGCCTGGTTCTTGTAGTTGATATTGAACGGACAACCGCCCCTCACGCCAATATTGCTCCTCAGTAAGTTTAAGTAGAGCACGTTATCCAAAGCACCCTGACCGTTCTAGAATCCGGCTAAACAGTGGTCCAGTGGGCGACGGTTGCATGGGACAGCATCATTAGCGAAGTGGTCTCCTCTAGTACGTAGGTTAGCAGGTTCCAATCCAGCCCTTCGGCATAACACTTTAAGGTTTCAGGATTGTGCCGGGCAGTGGGTTAGGGTTTTATTTAATGCCGGTTAGCATTCCTCGTGCCCTAATATCAGCACTGGTAGCCGATTTTCCAGGTCGGCGCCTGTCACATCTGACCCACAGGTGCTTATTTTCCGGATCAGGGGCCGTTCCACTCCTTCACCTGTGGAAGAGTCGGGCTTCCCGCAGTCGAACCAAGAAACAGGAGGGTTCCTGTCCTGTCACACTGCTGACGATAATACAAATGTGGAAAAAACCGAATGTTTGATGTCCCAAAGATTCTAATTGCGGCTGACGACATCTTTGTTAAAGACGAAGACCGAATTTTTTTTCAGAATGGTATCCCTTTATGCTTACATCTGTAGACCTACTTTCTTCTCCGCCCCATTTTTGGCTTTGTTATCACCCACCAAAGAGGGATATGGCTGATGATGCGGAATAATTTAAAATTAATCAACCTGCCATTCAGTAGGTTTGAACATGCATTTACCGACGACCGTACTCTAGCTGCAATTTTTGTCAAATGATGATGACTATGGTGATAGTGATGATGACGACGACGGCGATGATGATGACGATGACGACGACGACGGCGATGATGATGATGATGATGGTGGTGGTGGTGGTGGTGATGATGACGACGACGACGACGACGACGACGGCGGCGATGAGCATACAATAAGGACGGTCGACAAATGCGGCAAACCAGTTGTTTGCTTTGCTTGTTTTTTTTAAATTTCAGGTACGTTGGATGCGATGTCCCCCCATCTCCTCCACGTCGTAAACCACCTTTTTTGTCTTGGAATTGTTAAAAAAAAACCCTACTTTTTGTTTCCTCCCCGGACAGCTCCCCGAAGAGAACGCCAGTTCAAAGGACGCCACTTTCTTGTCTGGCCCACGCAGAGCCCATAAAGGCGCTGGCCGTGACTGGCAGTCAAAATGCCCACAACCTGATCAGTGTCAGCTCGGACGGTAAACTGTGCTCCTGGAGTTTGGACATGCTGGGTCAACCACAACAGTCGCTGGAGCTGACTTACCGTCAGGCCAAAACTGTTTCTGCCACCTCAATGGCCTTCTTCCCCGAGGACGCCAACAACTTCCTCATCGGCGCTCTCGACGGCAACGTCTACTCAGGCTGCAGGCATGGCAAGTGAGTCCTCTCTGTCCCATGCAGTCGTCGTGACCGACGATACCCACCGTGTGCCCCACGTTAGGGTGAGAGCAGGCACGGTGAATTGCGCGGGAGTTGGGTTATAACGATGGTGGACTTGCAAAGCATCTGACGCACTCTCTCCTCCTCCCCCACCTGGGCCCACCTGCAATGTACACTGACCAGTATTTACACCAAGAAAAAAAGGGCAGGGGACAGCGCAGAGCGAGCCTGCACCCGGGCTTCTCACCACACCCCGAGTGTTGGCATTTGTCATGGGTGCGCACTTCCGTTAACGCCTGCCGGATTCCGATCTAACCAGCCCATCTACCACGTGACCAGCTTTAGGGACACAACACAACAGTTAAACCGTCCTGTCCAACGATGTCCACCGTGTGCTCCACACCAAGGTGAAAGTGGGCATGGTCACTTGCGCGTGAATAAGTTTATAGTGAGGGCAGACTTGCACAGGATCTACCGCACCCTCTCCTCCTCCTCCTCCTCCTCCTCCTCCTCCTCCTCCTCTGCCTCCTCCTCCCCCCCACCTGTGCTCATTGTCAAGACATAATCACGAAGACTGGAGGCGGGAGAGGGCGCAGGTGGCTAGCACGGCCAGATCCGCATCGCCAAAAGCCAAACCAAAAACATCCGACTGTGTCGAGATCTCAGGTCATGATAACAGTGGGGTGTGACTCACGTTCACACCGTGAATTTATAAACATCTGCACCATGTGCCGACACCTGTGAATAATTGGAGAAGTTTATGCAAGTCTGCCTACAACGTAGATTAGCGCTGAACGAAATCTGGACTTCATGGAGCCTAACATTAGACACTCTCTTGAGTACTCTGCCAACCACCAATGAGGCTCTCCCTCACAAAAGCCATAATTAAAATATCCCAGGACCCAAGTAGTATAAACACTTCTTAGCCATTGCCTCCTCTCAATGGACCGGGACGTTTCTTAGTAAAGTTACGTCAGCGCGCAAACGGACATTGCTTGTATTCAGCGCTCCTTCTGAATCTCAGTTACGTAATATTTTCTACCTTGTAATTTGGAAGATGAGGTGGCGAGCATACGTAGCTTTCGATAAATTCTTGTCAGGCCAGTACACTTATATGGGAACGGGATAGAAGTCAAACGTGTCAGCGATAAGAGAAATCGATAAAAGTTTTCCTTAAAACACAGGCGGCGTGTGGGAATGTGGGGGAGGGGGGTAATAGTAGTCATTGTCAGGGCCGGGGTGAGAGCGGAAGTGCGCGGGGGGGAGTTGCACCGTTAGTCAACCTTCGAGCACTGTAGGCGCGGAGCCTGAACGTGGTTCTTCTGTGCGCATAAGATTGGCTTTCGTAACCTAATGGCGGCCGCTTCCGCTGTCGCGTAGGGTAGCTCGATGGAACCGTATAAATCACACGAAAAGCTTCGTTGGGGTCCACGCGATGTCAGAAATCGACAACATGCGCGAGAATGGCGCTGCTTATGCTCCTCGTTTCGCCTTTTCGCAGCCACGCCGGGAGGTGTTCTCGTATTCTCTTGGATAAGCGCCGACTCGGGCGACCAATATAACCTGCTCCACAGGAGCAAGTGAAGGAATATATGCACATTGAGGTGGTCTGCGGTGGCAACTCGTCCTTACCTTCTCCGCGTAAAATAGGGTTAGTAGAGAATGATATTTTAAGCCTTGCTGCTGGGAAGGTTCGCGAGACAGCTTGGTCAAGGCGTCTTCTTAGGAGTTCACTCGCCGCGTCCCCTTGGAAAGGGACTTTGAGGAATAAAGTTTTCTTTTCAGCGGTCGGTGTGACGGGTTTGACCGGTCTTTCGGCAATGTTCTTTACAATAAATCTGTCAAGATACCCGTTTTCTCGAAGGAAGTCCCGGATTTTTCTGAGCTCCTCCTCGATGCTATCGGTTGAGCAAATTTTTCTAGCTCTTTGTGCCAAACATTGGACTAGATTTCACTTTTGTTGGAGGTGTACGAAACTGGCGAAGTTCGTGTATTGTCCGGACCAGGGTTTCTTCCGATATACGCTTCTTCGAGCACTCCCGTCAGATCTCCTGCCTAGAAAAACATCTAACAAAGGGGGCGAACAGGCCGTTTCGATCTCCAGCGTGAATTTGATCGACGGATGTGCCTGATTTACCGCTTCTAAGAGGGTAGCTACGTCGGTTTCTGCAGTGGCAATTGCAAAGCTATCATCAACATACCGACCGTAATGCTTAAGCTTATCGATCTGATCGCTTAGTTGGAATCTCTACAATTCGCCCATGAAGGCATCGGCAAGGAGAGGTCCAACGGGTGAGCCCATAGCAACGCCGTCTACTTGTCTATAGAGTTGGTTGTTTATTTATCTGAGAACTTAGGTAGACGCCTCCTGGGCCTCCTGATTTTCTGCAAAACACACCTGCTCAGTCAACCTCCCTCCCTCTCTACCGGTCGTCAAGGTAGTCCTGGTTGGGGCCAGTCTTCATGAGCGATGCCTCCCACGCGCCACAAGGCACACTGTCCGGCGGCAGAGCATGGTCGCTGTCCTTTGATTGGCCCGCGGCGACTAGAGAATCTGCCAATCCTCCGTTCGAGGGCAAACGTGCGCTTTCATGCGATTTCACTGACGTGTAAGCATGCCAGTCGGAAGACTTTTTGGCTGGTGTGTTTCCGCTGAAAAAAGTGAGTGAGTGTGCGTGTGGTAGGCGCAAGGCCAGCCCGACGCCCAAACCGGCCCTCTTCGGCCGTCTTCACAACCGTAAGAGGATGGTACTAAGAAGAGCGGGCGAGGCTGGTGCTGTTCCGGCTCGCCGCACTCACCACTGTGTCTGACGATCAGAATAACTTGAGTCACTGCTATCACCATCATCTTTCCTAACTGCGTGACCGGGTAAGTGCGTAGGCGGGTTGCCAAATTTAGCGACAGTCATTTCAAGACGCCTGTTCAGTACAGCTGACTACGCTCATTTCAAGGTCGATTCTCCTCACGCCCGCATACACACACAGTCAACCAGATGACGCATCCATCCCACAGGACTGGAACTATCGTAACACTGCGTCTGCTCGAAGTGCATGTTTGTTTGGTACGCTTAGACCGCAACAAGCTCATTCAATCAATCTGACATGAATAATCTTCGGAGATGACTTGCGGATCGCCTGCTTCATTTCCCCACTCCCCAACTGCTGTGTCCACTCCGTGAAGCACACTGTGGACTCCGTCGCTTGAGACGGTCGAACTTTCGTCCACTAACCCCTCCCCCCATTCCTATCGGGCTTCCGTGGGAATACCTTTTGGGACGTTTTAGAATAGACTTGAAGTCAGTGGTGGGTAGAACCAATCTCCAATGTCAGCTTTGCCTTACGTCGACCACGAATGATGATTGGACTCCGTAGGTCAATACTTTATCATCCATGCGGAGGATTCGTCTAGTACATAAACCTACACACATCGGGACGCATCTAAACTCGTTGTCTCGCCCCCCCCCCCCACCCGTTCAACGTATCTTTCTTGCTTGCCTTGCTTCTGGGCTGATCGCAGCCAGAATAGATTCTAGTCTGACCGGCCGCGATATGGACACGTCTGCAAGCAGAAAATAGAGCGAGTAGTTATCATGTTATAAAGGGACAAGAAGAGGCGCACGTTAGTTTCCCACATACTGACTGTGTAAAGGACTGAGGATGGTATTTTTAGTTCCTGCTGTTTAACCTTCGACAATTATATGCGTATGTGAGTGGGCTTGCACTTTTACTACACACGCCACTTGGCAGCAACATGACTGCTTGAGCTCTGCATCAGTGTGGTACGAAGCTATGCCGAATTGAACAGGGGGCAGTTGTGCGCCTGCCATCTAACGCGTCACATTCTTTCTCCTTCCGGTCGGAAGAAATATGGACGCTTTTTGAGGAACTTGTAGAATCCAGTCAGTTTGTAGGAGTGTGCCGCTGCGCTTAGAGGGAAGTAAAGGTGACTTCGCCGATCTGCAAGTCTTCCCCTACTGCATTTAGGCACCTGGCCGCCACAACGAGTTGCGTTGTTGCATTATCCCTGAGCAGACAGCTCTGTGGCGCACGTCGGATGGAGAATTTTCGGCGCTTCAGATGTGCTGGGCCAAAACGGGTATTAGAGTGGATCGTGGCACGCGTTTATCGGTCTGCGCCGGCTCCGTGACAGTTCGACCATCGTTTTCGATGATGTCCACCGTGTGCCCCACAGTTACAGCAGCAATGGGATCAGGGACGGTGACTTACGCAGGGGTTTATAGTGCCGGCTCCGTACGGCTGCTGTGTATGTGTGTGGTGCGCCTTGGACGTAAGCCTTCACGCCGCGTCAGTCACTGCGCCAAATCATGTCACCTGTTGGCTGGACGGGCTCGGACCGGTGCATGGGGGGGAGGGAGGGAGAAGAGAGGCCGACACTGGGGAATCCTTCCCCACGGCAGACCAGCGTACTCCTCACTGTAGTAAATCTGGCGTGCTTCAACCTGTCACGACGTGTTCCAAGAGTCGTGACTCGGAAGGCCGCCAACTGACTCAGAACTGGGAGTCAGGCTGCAATGGCTCTTTCTTAATGTGAGATCGAAGGCGCATTTATGAAAAGACCCGGAACATGCCGTGGGGAGATGGGAGGGTACGCAGGTTGCTGTAAGCTCTAAAAAATAAAACCGAAAAAGAGAGTGGACGGCGTAAGGGATGTATCAGACCCGCTGACCCTCGTCAGCCGATCATTCTGCGCACCAGGTCAGGGCGACGCAGTGAACAGATGTTGTCAAAAAAGTCACTAAGTATGCTCTTATGTGCTCATGTGTCTATATGCCTCTCAGTTTCTTAGCGGCTTTGATGTCACCAAAACTAACATCCTGATCCGCAGCGTTTTTGTTTTATTTCAAACCACAACTCACTGGATGCCCCCTACCTCACTGCGTAAAAGACGGGAAACTACGGCTATCACACCACGCGACCGCGCAAACCTAGCCTTTTTCTGTGACATATGTTGGAAGAAGGATATGAACAACTCCTGTATATAACGCATACTGCCGTTAATATTAAGATCGAAAACGTGGGACTTCGATTAAACATGACTGCATTTGGCCTGGACGTTCGAGTGAGAAAAGGCAGCGAATATGCGTCTCGTTCTTGGGAGTTAACTGCGGTTTTATTTCTTGACAACCGACGGGTGGCTTTTTGCGCTCAGTCCAATGTCGAGCAGTTCTAACTCCTGAGGTTAACTTCACTCAACTGAACTGGCACATATCCGTTAAGTTCCATCGTTGTGACTGATAGTGTCCACCGGCTGTTCAACACAACGGGGCGAGCCACGGACTTCGACTTACTCTTGGAGTAGTTTGTAGTGATGGTAGACTTTCGAAGCATCTATCGCACTCATTCCTCTTACTTCACCTGGACGCGGTGTCAAGACACAATCAAGAAGACCGCAGACGGGAGAGAACGCAGGTTGCTGGCACGGCAAAACTCCACGTTTTGGCACTCGACCACACGCCCTGGTCCGCACTTGGCCAGGATTTATACCACAATATAGGGCAGGGATCTGCACGGATCCTGATGTGCGTTCCGTGAGCCTGCACATGGTCTGCCGTCACACCTTCACTGTCGCCATTTGTTATGGGTGCGCATTTCCGACAACGCCCCCCAGACTCCGATCTAACCATTGTGTTGGTTCACCCCATCTACCGGGCGGTCCGTTTTGAGCCCAATGACCGTTAAGTACAGACAGCTTCGTTTTTGACTTACCCTTCCATTTGCTTAGCGCGTCTCCCGTTAGCCCTACAGATGCGCGGGTCCAAAACGGGAGTTAGACTGATTAACACCATGCGCTTACCGAGCATCTGCTCAGGCGTGTGGTGGTGCACCTTAGTCGTCGGCCGTCACGCCGCGTCAACGACTGCATCCACTTCCATCACCAGCTGGTGGAAAGATCCAAACAGTCAGCGACACTGAGAAATCCCTCCTCACAGCAAATCCGTACATCCCTCGGTCAAAATAAATCTGACGCGTTGGGATCTGTCACGAGGCTCTACGAATCGGGGCGTCGAAGGTCGCCAAACGACAGCATAACTCGCACCTTCTCTGGACTGAGAGAAGGTCTGCAGCGTGGGCTTCTACGACACTTACGCACGTGAGATTCGAGCCCGACACAAGTAGCGAAGAGCGGGTTGTTCGTGGCCCGTGTAGATGGGCTGCTTCCCTTCGTCAACCATTGTGTTCGCGCCCACCTCCGGCATTGCTACCAGTGCCATCGGAGCAGGGAAGCGGAAGTGCAGCAGATGCTTTGCAAGTCTGCCCCACTACAAATTAACATCTAGGTCACCGATACTGCGCCCACTCCCTGGGACACACAGTGGACGGCCCCGCCTGCGACGGTCGGGCGAGCGAGGACGGAGTGAGACTGTCACTGGGAAATCCTTCTCCACGGCAGATCAGCGTACTCCTCGCTACAGTAAATCTGGCACGCTTTAACCTCTCACGACATGGCTTGGAAGGCCACCAACTGACGAAATAACTCAGAACTGAGAGTCAGACTGCAGTGGCTCTTTCTTAATGTGACTTTTATGAGACTCAATCACGTGAGATCTGACGCGCATTTATAAATCCCCTGGCACGTGCTCTGCGGACCGGGTGGCGTGTGGCACGCGCAGGCGGAATGTTTAACTTTGTCAGCCACCACATCAGAGCTCACCTCCGGCCATCCCGTCACTGTTCTCCAGTCGGAGCAAGACGAGTGAGGGGCGACAGGTATAGAGTGCGCTAGATGCTGCTCAAGTCTGCTCCACCATATACTTCATATGTGGCTTGGTTCGCGCGCGCGTGTAGCCATGGGCGATTGCCTGGCACGCGTAGAGGTGGATTTAGCATCGTCAGTCACTGCTCCCACGCCCATTTCCAGTTGTGGATTTTCCTCTCCATCGGAACATCGTAAGCTGGGAAGTGGGATTGGTTTTGGATAAGTGTTGTCACGTAGGAGTCATCACCGTCGTCGCAGGCAGTGGCGTTTTTTGTCAAGTATGATTGGCCGGTTGTTTCAGCCCAGTTCATGTGAAAGCCACCACTGCCCTCCCCCCGCCCTTTCTTGGGGGGTTGTGGTAGTCCTCGGGACCCCAGTGGACCTATTACGGATATCTACTGGCTCCGTTCTTACAAACCTGTCAGAATCAATTTTCTGCTGCTGTTGCTGTTCCAATTCCTTTCACTTTTTGGCGAACATGCAACAGATAGCGAAATTGATGAAGCTGCCTTAATTCACAAAAAATGTCCTTCTACCTCAATAGCCTACCCAAACGCCAAACTACAAATTAGTGGCTGTGAGTACAAAAAGTCTCGAAAATGTTGATGCTTTTTCTCAGAAGAACCAATTTTTTGCACAGCAAGGCGGAAATTTGAATCACATAAACATACTTAAATTACAGAACTACGCCATGCATGGTCACACAAACAACTGAATAAATCTGCATGCGGAATGAGGCCTGCAAAAACCCCTTTCAGACACTGCTCGGGTCAATTATCTCCTAGGAATTAATATAATACCCCACATGGCGACCGGCAGACCACTCTGGTTGACCAGCCAAAGGTGTTTTTGTTTGGCGTCCTACCTGAGGTGGTCGTTGGAATATAAATTGTAAGATAAAACTTCAAGAGGTTTGACACCGATATCAGAACTTTGTTATGATTAGCGAATGCAATCGTGAGCATTCCATTTTCTGTGCACAAGATGGATTTCACATCCGTCAAATTGATGTTTATCCCCTCTGGCGACGGTAGAACCTTTGAGTTGACCTTCGACTTCCAATGTACTCATCCGGTAGCTAAAAGAGACCTTTTCCATATTTAATCGGATGTTTCAACAGTCAAAATAAGACGTTCCACGTAAGCCCTTGGCTGTGTAGTGGGTCCTCAGAAGTTGTTAAATCGTTTCGAAAGCGCATTGCCAGAGAAAATGGACATCCACAATCTCAATTCCTTCGATTAGTATATTTATCAGATGCAGACGTCCCGACATAAGTGTACTCTTTAAAAGCAGTTTTGGTGGCATTTTCTAAGTGGCCCATTATCCACGCGCTTCATCTTTTTTTCCAAAGAACTGGCACATTTTCTCCAACAAGTAAAGAAGTCCTTCGTTTAATTGCTTTGGGACCGTTTCCTTGCGTAATTCTGGGATCCAGTCCCTATTACGGATTCGGTGAAAAGTTGCGCCGTACATATTTAATTGGCGTCTTCTCCGTCTAGAAATTGCCTACTAGTTGAAAGTATAAAAGAAAAGCGTATTGCCGTTTGTGTTGACGTTAAATTGACAAAGGCATGCTCGGACATTACGTAGTCACTTCCGAAATATTCGTTGGCCCTTGGAAGTTACTGTCGTAGTTCGACAAGAGATTTCTTGCTAGCACTATTATTGTGCCGAATTGCGCAGATTTACAAAGCAGAATTTCTAAATCCAAAAGTGCGTTTGCTGTCCCAGAGACAGCATGACTGTTCCCATCCTACACACCTAAAAATCGATTTCCAATTTCCCAAAGGCCGTTTCAGCACACTCTTTATCGCCTAAATTTGTCTCCTCTCCCAGAGAAGCCTGTGCAGGGACATAAATGTGGTTTGCCATAGTCGTTAATGTAGAAAATCGCCTGGACACTAAGAGATATCGATTTTCTCACAATATCCTATTTTTCTTCAATTTAAGAACGTATCATATGAAGAGGAATGTTATTAACGTAACTTCTAGACCCGCTGAATAGAACTCACAATACACACGAGCCATCATGATTCCCAGTATCATGCTTCGATCCGAGCTGCTTTTACAGTGGCCTGGTGTGGACCAGATCGTATGTGGCACGTGTACAAAAGCTGTTTCGTCTTGTCAGCCACTGTGCTCAAGTCCTCCTTCTGCCATCTTGATACTGTTTTGCCATTAGAGCAAGGTGGTTGAGGTGGGCAGGTGAGGGTGAGATAGATGTAGCGCAAGTCCACTCAGCAGTAAATTAATTCACTCGTAAACCCATTCCGTGGGTCACGCTGTAGATGTCGTTGCGTGCGACGGTCGGACGAGGGTGAAGATACTGAAGCCGACACTGGGAAATCCTTCTCCACAGCACACCAGCGTACTCCTCGCCACAATAAGCAGAGTGGCATTACCGACAAAGACAAAGGAGACTGGAATGGCCATTTCTGGCTTATTAGCCGTCGTCAGCCAGTCATACCCAACACCGAAATGTGGAACACCCGTGGTCCGAACTCGCGACCTGTTAGAAGTCCAACGCCTCTAACCACTGGGTCACGGGCCCGTTTTCCTGTCGGTTGCGATCCGGTCTGTGGTTTGTAGTTTCTCACTTACAGTATTGGCACATTTAAACTCACCTACAGCCCCTAGAAAGTAATTTTTTCACCCTATTTGACAGACCACACGCTCCTGTTATACCCTGAGTGTCTCCTACAGTAAACCAACAGCAGCAGTGCCGTACTACAGACTGCCTTACGCTAAATTCCAGGTCGAGTTTGGGTTATGCGGGTTTCCGTTAGAGTTGGGATTGGAGTTAGGGTTAAAGTCAGGGCACGGGATTGGATACCTTTGCGGAAAGTTTGCGCAAGACCACCCGTCGTGCGGTGATGATCCATAGTCCCATGTCCACTCAAAGGGTCGAGTGACGATAGTTGTTTGACTGCCACCTGATCTAGGGAGAGAGACTGTTCACTGTCCTGTATTCGGCAGAAAAATGCATGGATGTTTGTGCATGCCCGTTCCAAAGGAATTAAGGAATTCATATTGACCTAACTGTGAAAAACTCGGCGCCTCGGTGGGATTCGAACCCACTCAGCAAGGGGAAGGCTTTAGCACAGCCAACGCTATAACCACTTGAGCTACGGCGCCTCGCTGGGCGACGCGAGTTTAATCACATTTGGGTCAAGTTGCCCGCCCAACCTACTGCAACGTCTGGAATCCACCAAATCTGATACAGTAAGTTGACTGCCCAGGCAGGATTTCATCTAGAATCCACAGGTGACGCATCTAACCTCGGTGTTTAGCCCCCCCCCCCCACCTGTTCAAAGTATCTTTCTCCCTGACCTTGTTTCTGGGCTGATCGCAGCCAGAGTAGATTCTAGTCTGGCCGGCCGTGATTTGGGACTCTCTGTAAGCAGAAAATAAAGTGAGCAGTTATCATGTACTCGTGAAGCTGGGCAGCACCCCTAGACATTCTGATTGGGGGATTAAGAAAGGAGAGGGTTTACGTTGAATTCCCTTCTTTCCAACTACACTTCGGGGTATTGTCACGGCACTACATCACAAGCATGCGCATTCGTTTCTCAAACAAGGAAAAAGGAATGCTGGAAAAAGTAATAAGTAGCTCTAATTTCGGGGACCGACATATCCTCCTAATGTTGTACAGCGTTCTGCAAATTGATGGAGGTCTGAGCGCAAGCACTGTCAGTCGAACATACCTGCTATACGCCCTTGTACGTAGTTTTAATTTCACACTTTCCGCTGAACTGGGTCACTAGCATGAGAGGTTTTAAACAATAGATTTAGAGGATAGAGCCTGCTGCACTCACTAACACAGGCTGGGGGCATTCTTCAAGTATGTCCTCCTGCATTGCTGCTAAGGTCACAGACTTGGTCGATGAGTGCTGATTCTTCGCTGGGTACCTTTGTCCCCCTGACTCATTGACCCCCCCCCTGGTCTGAAGCACGTAAAGGCGTCCTTGAGCTCTCTGCTGCTGCTGTCGCCTATGCCAAGTCACGCATATACCTCTCGCCACGCCTGCACGGGTGCGTGTTGAGAGATCTTTGCGGTACGAGCAAACACGCATGAAACGCTGGTGACGGTTTTTGCTTACACCTCTAACTGAAAAAGTTCTCATGAATGCGTTTGAGAAACCGTCTATCGAAGAACGTAATTTCAAGTCAGCTCCTGCACTGTAATGGGGTGTCGTTTAACCGAGTATCTTTCTAGCCACTTGTGAAAACACGAGGGAAAATACTACTTAAGAAATGTGCATTTGCCATTAATGTTTATGCAGGTAAACAATCTTTAGGGAGAATGTGCAGTGGATATACTCATCGACCTTGTTTTATAGGGAATTGCGACTCCATCAAAGTGACTACCTGAAGGGAGGGAACATTTCGATTTATGGAATTTGATTCATACCGGTATATTTTGAAACGCAGCCTGTATTTTCATCTGTTCCTAGGGTTTTTAAACTACCTGTTGTCTGCCTTTAATGAGACGAATTCACATACATGTCTCTGTAAAGTGATCGTTTCGCACTCCTGTGGTATTGCAATACAGGTGCATTTATACAGATCCCAACAGTGGACGGAAAATTTACGCCATGCAAGTGGCTATCATTTTTTCGTGCATGGTTTACGCAGACGTCCTGCATGCTAGCGCACAGGTACTAACATGAGGTTTATTTCCTCAACTTCCCTTATCAGTTTTGAAGCCTAGCCTAAGATAACATAAGCCTTTAAAAGCCCATCGAAAAGCCCTCAATCAGTGTTTCATAAATTCCGGCCCGTACTCTAGGCTCCTTAAACAGTCCTTAGAGCATAGCTCTGGTCTGGTGGTAAAAGCTTCCTCAATACTCACCCTACATGCTGGCGTTATGTTGTTATTTAAAATTGCCTCGTGGATCGGCCTGAGGGTACACATCGAAGGAGAGAAGTCAGAACACCATGAAGGGGAGTTTAGTACACCGAGCTCGTTGTCCGACCTCGGAGAGATGTGGCAAACAACTGAATGACCAGCCTGTGAAGGTTTCCGTTGAATGCTTCGAAAGATTGGTTAGCCAACACGTGTAGGTTTTCAGCAAGCTCTCATCGGGTCTGTACATTTACATAAGACGTTGGCGACGGGCTGCGTAATTGGATTACCTGGTGGCAGTTGGTCAGGCTTCACGAGTTCACATAGGGTGTGCAAAATAAAGGTGCGGGGCGGTGGAGAGAGAGAGATAATCCCGAGTTTTGGTTTAAATGTCCGAGAGCGTCCAGTTGGAAGCGCCCTCTATTCCTGCTAGTCGTTACCTTGACCATTATAGTGGCAGCGCGTGCGGTCCATGTGCCGAAATCTAATTTCATAAGGGCGGGTGGGAGGGCTTACACGTCTTTCGGTAGTTTTATTACTCGACTAAAGACTTCCCAGACAACTAATACATTTGGTTTCCTACCATTAACCAACCGGCGTTTCTTGAAGTCTGCTTACCAAACATCGAGTAGGTCCCCCCTTTCCCTTACATACGAGCCTTTTTCTCTTTCTTGACCTGGTGCATGTACTCCGAGCACCTGGAAAAAAGCATTCTCAGGCGCCCTCCTTCATAGTGAGAGCAGATAACGCCTGAAAGAACCATAAAACGCCTATGGGGTGCATTTGACCATGTCAAGAATGCTGGATAGCACAGGATGATAACACGGTGCCACCCCGCGTTTCACAGTACAACTGTCTGTGCGGTTGCAGGAGAGAAGCCTATGCGACGGCTGATTATGTATTAAGAGCTGGAACTCCATCGAGGTATCCGTCGTTGAGAAGTGTTGAGACGCATGGGGCCTAGTGCACCGGCTCTACCATGTTGCTATGGCAAATGTCGTGTTGGGGCAGTTTGGAAGGCAGCCACATTCGCTTGGGAGTGGGCGGTTGCCGAGCCTCTGCTGTTCTACGTAAGGGTTGCCAAAATTAGGTCACTTGACTTGAAATTGGTGATCGTCTTCTCAGATGTTGATATCAGTGAAAGTCTCCCGCCGCCCTGTTCCCTCCGTCTCCGTGTATTTTATCACTGTCGGGAGGAAAACCATACCTACGGGGGATTTGACTGCCAAGTAGGTAATGGACGACAGAGGCAAGTCCAGATTTTGGGCTGTAGCAGTCAACGAAGTAAGCAACTAGATGCGTCGTTCCCGGTATCGCGACCGCTACCTAAGGCGCTTCGTCCACATTAAACCCGTAGACGTGCCGTATGTGCGTGTGTGTAGACCGGTCCGCTAGCTCGCTTGCTTTCATTGTTAGCCTCATCCTCCCTTTGGGACAACGACGGATACCACCCTGAATCATCGTGCGCCTTGGCTGGGTTGTGGTGATTATGAGTCTGGCCTGCCCGTTCACGTAGAACCTCTCCGAAATGCCTCTTATTCGGAGAACGCAGACCTTAAGTGCTGTCGCAGGCCTCATCATCTTGTCACTGCTTTGCCAGTCGTCGGAGACCTTTTACTGGGTGTATTTTAATCTCTACTTCATGTTTCGGGCCGTGCTTTCGGTAGAACACTGTGACTTGCAACTGTGTCGTTCGCAACTGCAAAAATACCCTTTTAGAATTCGACCGATCCCGTACTTTTAGGTTTCACCAACTCAGGAGGTCTTGCTTTCACCGGTTGACTAACATGAGCCGGTTGCTCAAAGAACGATCTGGGGCCACGCACTTTGTGCTGCTAGGTCACGCCGTGCCGTGATTCAGTTGCTCCTGATGTCCATTCTTCGCTCCTGAGCTCATAACGGCATACTTAGCCGGTACTTTTTCTTGTACAGTACTAGAAACCCACGTCTTTTTTGTCGTCAGCCTGTGACTGCACTCTTCGCATAGTCTGCCGTCATTTTTACTGTCAGCAGTAAGACATTACACTAGCCTTGTGTCAGAAGACAGACGGAGGGTTGCATGTGTAAGGTCCACCGTATCACAGGTCTCTTATTCTGGCGATTTGTGACAGAAGATGCCTCATTAGGCGGTGCTTGTTGATCCAACTGTCCGAGAAAAGTACTTACGTTACGAAGTGTCTGGTGAACGGGACTATCACAGGGTGTTTGTCCTTCAGTGTCGTCATGGCCAAGGAGCTTTATAACTGCTTTCATGATGATGATGATGATGATGATGATGATGATGATGATGATGATGATGATGATGATGATGATGATGATGATGATGAAAAGTGAACATATCTCGTTATTGATAGCTGACGGTTTCAGAAGATAGTCGGATTCCAATGCCATAGAGAAAAGTTTCTGATAAATGGCCATAGTGAAACCCACATCGACGCCGCTTACAGCGTTTTTGCCAGCCTTCGAAGATTTACCTGAAGCTCTCGAGGTATTTGACATGACAAGGGGATCTGTGGGTACCGGACGCCAGTGCTCCTCTACATTATGCATGCTGGTCCCTGAGGAAACTGTACACTCGTGACCAGCATAGTTTGAGAACTATCCCTGGAAGGAAGTATACAGACTTCTTCTAAACAGGGCAGTCCGTATTCATCATGACAACCTTACTGTACGTGAAAGACGGCTGAAGTGGTTTGGACGCATTGTTAATCGTGCACATCATCACGCCGGTCCGTTTTTCTTTTTAACTATCAAGTGTGAAAGCACGGCAGTCACCTTGTGACGGTTAAGTTGCTTTCCGGCACAAACGTTTCAGAGAATTTTTTGGCTTTCCATTGTCGAGGCGTTAAATTCACAAAGTCTAACAGAAATTCGAATGATTAGCCACGCTGGTCGGTTCAGAGCCGTTTGATTTTTCTCTTCCTTCGCTGCCGCGATCTTTTGGCTGACTTTTGGCAGAGTCGATGAGTGCCTACGTTAGGAGTCATCACCCCGGTAAAGGTTGGTTGGCCGTCCCATGAGGTAGTTTGGTCTGATGGCTTCTCAGCTTCCCCGTTGAGTGAGCTCTTCGGAGGGCAGTGTCTTGTCGATTTTTTAAAGATCTGTGCAACCGCCTTGTCTTGGTCTTTATTTAGGTAGTACCACAGGGCCTTGTAGGCCGGGGAAAGGTCAGTGCACCTGTCGTTGGAGTCAGCATATTCACCGACACCTCACAGCCGAGGCTAAAAGACTCATGGAATGACGCTCTTTAAGTACTTCTTAGTTAATAGCCTTCATTGGTAGACGTTCTGTTTTTAAAAGGCTTAGCTAGGACAAAAGGGAGAGCCTCCGTAAAGGCCACGTTAAGAGGTACCCCTCGCAGAATTCAGCTACTTTCAATGATGACCGAGTCGGCTCATCAATTGGCAATCATTCAAACCACGACTGTTGGTTCGTCTCGGTTAGTTCTTGTGCGTCAACTTTATCACATGCGGACAGCTGTCTCGGCTGTTGTCTATGTGGAAGGATACCTAAGAATCTGCCTACAACACCTTCCCTCCCACCATGCACCGGTGATATGCCTATGAAATTGGCGGGCAATGACTCCGACGCGCTGTGGGCCTCAACTTAACGCATTCCACTCACACATGTACCAGTAGCTCCTGAACTGCGCCGACACGTGGAAGTTCACTCGCAGCGTCTCCTTGGAAAGGGACTTTGAGGAACAACGTTTTCTTTTCGGTGGTCAGTGTGGTGGGTTTTGCGGGTCTTTCTTCGCGAAAACGGGTATCCTGACAGGTTCATTGCAAAGAACCTTAGCAAACGACCCGCAGAACCCACCACACTGACTGCCGAAAAGAAAACTTTGTTCCTCAAAGTTACTTTCCAAGGAGATGCTGCGAGTGAAATTCTAAGAAGACGCCTTGATCAAGCCGTCTCGAGAACCTTCCCAGCAGCAAGGGTTCACATATCATTCTCTACTAACCCTATTTTACGCGGAGAAGGCAAGGATGGACTGCCATCTCAGACCACCTCAATGTCCATCTACTCATTCACTTGTTCCTGTGGAGCAGGTTATATTGGTTTTACGAGTCGGCGACTTTCCAATAGAATACGAGAGCACCTTCCCGCATGGCTGGCAAAAGGTGAAAGTAGGAGAATAGACAGCGCCATCCTTGCGCATGCAGTGTATTCAGGGCATCGTGTGGACCCCTCGGAAGCATCTCGTGTGATTTACAAGGTCCCTTCGAGCTACCCTAAGCTACTAGGCCAGCGCCTATTAGCAACAGCAGAAGCGGCCGCCATCAGGTTACGAAATCCGACCCTATGCGCTCAGGAGAACCTCGTTTAGGCTCCGCGCTTACCGTGGTCAAAGGTTGACTAACCACATACAACATTCTGCGCCCTTCCGCTCTTGCCCAGCTTGTATTTTAAAACTTAACTTTCGTCGATTGTTTCTCTCACCGTACCCCGTCCCATATAACTCTACTGGCCTGACGAGAACTTATCGAAAGCAACGTTCGTTCGCCACCTTTTCTTCTGAATATAGCTATGGGGATTTTCACAACCCTTTCAGATTTGTTTGTATGTATTACGTGCTGGTGTGAATTAGATTCCAGCTCCGTATTTGCTACTCAAGACATGCCTTTGACTTACAACAATCTTTAAAATTCTCTCTGTTCTCGTCTGCCTTATGTAACCGGAACAAAATAAGCAATCACCTATGCGATCGCGCGGCCCCTCCGCATATCTGACTGAAGTGTGTCTTTCATTTGACAAATGGAAGGTACCATACTCTAGTTAAAGAGACCATCCGGCAATTCACCTTGGTCAGCAGACTTCATTTACTCGCGTAGCTTCATACCCCTGACCACCAGACGTCTGAAATTCCATCAATGAGTCTTCTGGCCATCACTTTCCAGTTTCCATCTACTTCGTCACTTCTCGGAAAATCATTTTAATCCGTACAACTTGGCGCCTGTGCTGTTTTCCTGCTTAGAGGAACCTGAGCAGAGACCACAACTTAGCCCTAAATTATGTTCCCCTGATATTTATCTCATCATGGGAGCGCAACCTAGCATCTGTCCACATTAAGTTACGTCGTAGAGACGAGGAGTGTTTATTAGGCCTATGCGCTAGCGGACCTATCTCATGAAAGGTGATTTCGGTTGGAAACTATTACATAGGTGAGGTTTTAATATTGATTATTGTTCAAGAGAATCGGTAGATATTTCGCACACGTTAAAATGCCGGCTCTTCAATGAGCTCCTCTCCGGTCGACTTCAAAAATGACACTCTGTCCTCACTCTGTCTTGTCATTAGAATTCCGGCCAATTAAACATCCAACAGATGGGCTGTTTCGTGGGCTGCGTTTCTGAAATATGTTTTCGATTCGAAAAAATTACGTGAGTAGGGCCGTGATATTGATTGTCGTGCGGCATAATCTGAAGATGTCTCAGTGACGTCGGGACGCCGGTTTTTAAACGACCTTCTTCCCGACCGCTAGCAAAAACTACACTCGGCAAAAGTAACCACTTCAGTGGTATGAATCCTCACATTGATTTACGATGCCCCTATTTATCCAAGCATATTTTATAGAAGACACAGAGAAACGTATTTTTGTCTTACTGATTTGATGGAAAATCACGTTATATTGAAATTCTGTATCTAGGAAAAGGGTATCATTCAGTTCAGAAGTAGTTTGTGAGTATGGGATTTTTTAAGATTGCTAGATGCCCATTCGTATACCGTCGCGTCTCCCGCCACTCATGAATTAAACAACATGGTCCGCATCCATTGTAAAATTTCATGAGTCTTGCATTATTTCTTCCTAATAGCGTAGATAAATGTATGACTTTACTTACACGGAAAGTATACTGCATGTAGTCTGGGAACCCTAAGCGAAAGTGCAACTGTAGGTTGGGTTCAAAATTATTCGGAAATCGGAAGTTCTTAAAACCGAAAGGTGCGTATTCTTAAGTACACAACCTGAAGAAGATGTAGTTTTCCACCAAATGAGTGCAGGGAGGAACATTTTTATCTACGTTCTCCACCAAAGTAGTCATTTTTCTACCCAGTTGAGTTTTTGCGCACGACCGGAAAGAAGCCAGCATCCTGGCTTGACTGGCATTTGGGTGATACTGCACCGAAATCAACATTACAACCGCGTCTAAATAATCCGTCGTAATCAAGAACGTATTTCAGAATTTTAGATAACATTTCATGAGATAGGCCAGCTACTGTATATCCAGTTAAACCGATGTGGGGAAGTACTGCTCCTTTTTCGCACGTTCCCCTTCTCACCCTAAACAGGTTTTTGCGCCAGGTACCGTGAGAAATAAGCGTTAACTCACCTGGCCTGGTTGTAGGCCGCTGTGCTAATGTTGTATTCTGCTTCTGAATTATTTGTCGGCGTCAGCAATAAATAAATCATTTGTAGCTTTTACAATTTCCTCTCTTTATCGATAATAATTCGCTGCTGTTTACCGGTCCTTGGTATGCGGCTGCCTGTGAACGTTCCAGACCATCGTCCTTCGTATTCCGTCTTAATCAAAACAGGTAGGTTAGCGCCACTCCCGGTGTTTTTTCGAGTACCATCGTCCACAGTCGACAGGTTGTAAGGATTTCGTGCAGCTGACAACCGTACTCGACTCACGCCTCGTGTACTCTCCGCCCGGGTATGTTTGGCTGACGACGACAGATAAGCCCGAATTGACCATCGCAGTACCTTTCGGTAAAAGGGTTTCTCTATCAATATCTCCCACTTAATGGGACAAATGTTTCCCCCAAAATGCGGTGTCTTGTCTTCTGCTGACTTTGTCTACCAGAGTTTAATTACTGTAGTTGAAAAAAGCCAGTCTTTCACCTCCACCTCCTCCCCCCACTTTTCAGCAAAGCTGGAATCTCGGATCAGTTTGAGGGGCATCGCGCACCCATCACCTCTGTCTGCATTCCCTGCGTCGAGGGCACTGCCGACTCTCCGCCCCTCTTCCTCACCACCTCCATGGACTGCAGTGTGAAGCTCTGGTCAAAAAAGCACACCTTCCCCATCTTCTCCTTCGACGACCGCATCAACTACTTCCTGGACTGTGACTGGTCTCCTGTGCACCCGGCTCTCTTTGCCACCGTGGACCTCAGCGGGCAACTTGATGTCTGGAATCTTAACCAGGATCATGAGGTAGGCCTGGACTGGCTGGCTGAGTGACTCAGATTAGCACTCACCTCCTTCCTTCTGTCCCACTGGGTACCTGGCCAACCATGCTTAATTTCGCCCACGATTACTGGTCGCAAGTATGACCGTCAGTTCCGCATTCAAGTCAATGCTCTGATTGCATCTACTGTAGCGACAGCGCGTCTACATTGTGGTCTAAACAACTATACAGAGATGAGATCCTTGTGCACTCAGGTTTCCTGGTGTGTCGATTTGTTTGTTTTCCTCAGTGTAATAGGGGGCATTTGCTCCGATGAAATCGCGGTCCCTCAAAAAAACTACCTGGACAGAGATTGGTCATTCCATTCTGACCTGGCTTGACATCTGTGGCTTCTCGAAGTTGTACTGGACGCAAAATCCATACCCTGGTTACTACGTGGACTTACGGAAATACCAGATGAGGGTAGCTTCTGCGTCGCTGCAATGCTGAATGACTTGTGTGTGAACAGTGATCCTGACAGTAGGGGGAGGGGGGGGGGTGGGAAACCAGTCATGATGTGACATCCGGGATACGAAACCTTTATGACAGGGTTGGCAGCCGCCTCCCGGCCCACCCCCAACTGCCTTAGCTTTGAGAAAGAGGTCGATGCCGCGCACTTCATCACTGCCGCTCCAAGTTAGCAGTCATATTCGATCGACGAACTATTATAATACTAGTACATGCATATTGATCCAACTGTGGAAAACTCGGCGCCTCGGTGGGATTCGAACCCACGCAGTACAGCCAACGCTCTAACCACTTGACCTACGAGGTTGGGTCAGTATGAGTTATTCAAAATCTGCCAAAAACATCTATGAATTACGTGATCCTGGCAGTCATCTGGTGGATTCTATATGAATTACTTAGGAAATCCTGCCAGGACAGTCAACTTACTGTATCTGATTTGGTGGATTCCAGACGTTGCAGTAGGTTGGACGGGTAACATGACCCAAATCTGATTAAACTCGCCTCGCGTAGCTCCAGTGGTTAGAGCGTTGGCTGTACTAAAGCCGTCCCCTTACTGCGTGGGTTTGAATCCCACCGAGGTGCCGAGTTTTTCACAGTCGGGTCAATATGAAAACAACCCAAGCCGACACAGAGCGAAGTCTAAGGATGTGGGGTTCTGATCGAGTACTTAAGGGGGGACTTCGCGTTAAGGAGATTCCGCACTTTGTGTTCGTGTGGCAGGCTTTGTACCCCGTTAGCCGCTGAATCAAATTCCGTCATCGGTGTCCTCGCCTGGGGTGACAGTTGGTATAAGAAAAGGAAAAGAGAGTGAAGTGGTTCCGGCTGAGATCTAGTGTCCAGTTTCCTTGGAGTAGACGACCAAACAAGCCTTAACCCACCGCCGCACTGGCTTGGAAGGCTGCGGTAGGTTGGCCGGGTAACTTGGCCCAAATGTGACTAAACTCGCGTCGTCCGGCGGGGCTTTGTAACTCAGGTGGCTAGAGCGTTGGCTGTACTTAAGCCTTCCCCTTTCTGCGTGGGTTCGAATGCCACCGAGGCGTCGAGTTTTTCACAGTTGGGTCAATATGAATTATTCAAAATCTGCCAAAAAATTTATGAATACTAATACAGTCTTCCCCTACTACAAAAGATGACCATTTGATGGTTGCCGAGGTTTCACCCCGGGGGCGGGGGTTCCTCCTCCTACATGACAGGTGTGCCGTTGACCTCCATGGGGGGTACCGGTCGCTTGCGCATATACTGGGGATGTGGTGGAGTCTCACCCACTTTTTCAACTGTCCCAGTTTCTGTCAAGTAGGGATGACAGTCGAAGATGGGATTGGGTGCGCTGGCATACGTTCCCGCCCTTGTGCGTATTGACTCCGCGCACCGTTTTGTTGGACGCTGGCCGCGCTATTGGTCTTAGTGGCTGACAATATATTTTTTCAAGCGCTCACGTCTGCTACGTGCATCGGCTGCCTAGGCCGATCTAACTGGATTTGCCCGTGGCAGTTTGTTTTACTTCTAATTCACGCTCTTTTTGAGGCCTGAGTCCACAGCGCCCATTAATTTTTTTACGTCCACGCTCGTTTGCGCCGCATCATCTTGCCCTTCTTGCCTACACAGGTTCCAACAGCATCATCGGTTATAGAGGGTGAAGTGGCGTTGAATCATTGCAGATTTGATAAGAAGGGCTCTCACATTGCGGTTGGAGATGACGTTGGGAAGGTGTACGTGTTTGATCTGCACGAGGTAAGTCTGCTCTGCTTAAGAAACGCCCGTTTACCCACCCCTCCGCCCCCCCCCCCCCTTTCTTACTGACTTCTTAGCCTGCTTTCAGCTTCCGGTGGTCCTCACGGTGTTTCAATGTTACTGTCTTGATTCCTTCTCATCGATAAACATTAGAATTCAAAGTATTTGCGAAACCTCTTGGAGCCCTCGTCTTGGCTACCAGTTAGGTTGCAAGTCGTTGCCTGTTTTCGACGGCTTAAAGACCAGGCTCCATTCACTTAATGCGACCCTGCCATACCGCCGGGCTCGACGACGCTGAGATTCTCACCGAGGTTGTAGGCACCCCAGGCGCCCATAGGCCTTCCATCACTGACACGTACGCCGCCGCGACAGGACTCACGTGACTGCCGCTTTCGTGTGGATGTGCAGTTTCATCTCCGAGGGCAGCCAACCACTGGTTTTCACAAATTCTAAGATTGTGTAATAAACTCACCAAGTCAGCACTCACTGACTCCCCGGAGACACACATTAATTCCTGTCGACTAGAGGCGGCTGTTCGTCGAGGACCTTACCACCGTTCGGCTTCTATGCAAATGAGACACCCCATACTGGTTCCTTCATCTTCCTCACCTTTATAGGACTGGTCTGTGGAGCTGTGGTGATCTTGGTGCACCCACTATCTTAGCCGCAACAAGGTAGCAGTTGCGTGAGTCGCGAGCTGCTGGAACCATGCTTCACCAGATCGCAGTCCATGGATCAGCGCAATGACCTCCCTCCGCCCTATTCAGTACGAAGACTGCCTCGGCAGGGTAATTAATCAGGCGGGGAGGGTGGGGAGCCTAGTGACCAAGTGATTATCAGGCCAGTCACCAATGGTGGTAATGAGCTTCCGCCTCCGGGGACTGGAATATGAACGACGACCAAGTGTGATGAATGCAAGCATTGCCCATTTTAGTGGGTGCGGATGCGTAGCGATTGCACCCCGTGGACGCTACACCCCCTATGTGCCCGCCACCCTTGTATTTTGATTTTTCCGAGGGCGTCTTCGAGAGTACATTCGACATACCAAACCTATGGAATTTTCATTATCCTTGGGAGGGCTTCATTGGTCGGGCTACAGGGCATGCACGTCGCGTTGCGCCCGGGGGCTGTGATCCAGAGCCCTCCTAGACACTCGTATAGCGGAATGTAGCATATACAGAAGGGGCGAGAAACGACAATGACAAGAGAAACTGAAATGGCCATTTCAGGCTAATTAGCCATCGTCAGCCAGCCGGTCCCGGTCTCAGGTTTGCAGGACCTGCAGGATTTGAACTGGCGACTTTTTGTCATTGAACCTTTCAAGTCCAACGCTCTTCCACTGCGCCACCGGCCCGTTGTCCTGTAGATTTTGATTTGAAACATTAAATACGGTGAGCGTTCACTGCTTGGATTACGGGACATGTTCGTTCCTTCCACCTTGGTGCTCCATCCAGAACCCTCACAGGCAGTCGTTTACCGGCAGTACAGTACGTGGGCTAGCTCATGAAATATCAACCGAAATTCCGAAATGCGTTTTCGTCTCGAAACGATTAATTAAGTAGGGTTGTGAAACTAATCGTTATGCAGCATAGTTCTATAATAATTCAGTTATCTCAGGATGCCGGCTTTCGAACGAACGTCCTTCCAGCTGCATGCAGAAACCGTACTCTGTAGAATAATGGCTACTTAAGTAGCATGCACCTTTCTCATAGATTTCCGTTGCCCTTAAATATTCAACTTTATTTCATGAAAAACATGCATAAAAATATTCTTTTGCTAAATCGGTAGAGAATTACCTCTTCTTCCAATTTTATGCTCAAAGGAAGGGTATAATTCGTTTTTTAAAAACATTTCCAATTCCTGAATAATCTCAAAACCCGACCTGCCGTTACACGTGCATTCAGAGTTTCCAAACTACAAGCCGTACATTTTCCGCGTACGGAAAACCGTACATTTCTCTACGGTATTACGAGGAAAACATATGGGGTTCGTAGAATTTAGCAGGGAATTTGAGCTATATTGTTAACTTTGCAAACTACATTGGTAAATACAGAGACATAATGTTTTATCAACCGCCATTTCGCGACATTAAAGAACCTCACGGAAACATTTTGAAAACCGAATTATACCCTTCCTTCGAGTATAAAATTGAAAGAAGGCGTAATTGTCTACCGAATGAGTGGCAGAATGAATAATGCATGTTTTCCATGCAATATAATTGAATTTTTAATGACATCGAAAATCAATGAGAAAAATGCGTGCTGCTTAGGTCGTCATTTTTGCAGAGTATAGTTTTTGCATGCAGTACGAAAGAACTTCGTTCAAAAGCCGGCACCCTGAGGTAACTGAATTATTATAGAATTATGCTGCATGATGATTAGTCTTACAACCCTACTTAATTAATCTTTTTGAAAAGAAAACGCAATTCGGAATTTCGGTTGACATTTCATGAGTCAGCCTACCTACTGTAAATACCTTTGAACTGCGCTTACCGAAAGTGGTCTAGCATTCCGAAGTCCTGATCGAATCTGGCTGTCGTGGGGCCAAGCCTCCCACTAACCGGTTTTCTGTCATTTTAAGTATAATTACCTACTGCGCTCAAATGTTCTAACACCCTTCTTGGTGGAAGATAGTGGAGCTGGACACAGTTGCTGTTGTTATGGGTGGTGATTATTATATTGGTAACGGGGTTGACGGTGATTGTGCAGCCATAGTCCTCAATAGGCCACATGGGGGCATTTCACAGTAAATGCTACGCATGGGGATGTGTGTGTGTGTGTGTTGGCGCACATAAACGCAAACTGCGCGCCGTGTCAGCCACTGTCGCCCAATCCCAACATCGGATAACTGACTGGCGCGGACTGGAGAGGTTAGATTGAGGTCGACTCTGGTTAATCCCATCTCGCGACACTTCAGGGAATTCCTCACTATGAACAGTCTGATGCGCTTTTAAACTCTCACGTTGTGCTAAAAGTGTCGTGACTTGGAAGGCAGCCATCTGACCGGGTAAGTCATTTCTCTCAGGACGGAGGCGTCTGGCACAATGTTTCCTTCTGAATGTGGCCTCTATGGCATTCCCACTCAGGTGGAATCCGAGTTGCTCTCTAGTTGTTATGGCAACCTGGTGCTTTGCGCACTGGCCAGTTCGTGTGTGGAATACTCAGGCGGGCCACTGCGCCCGATCCCGCCTCCGGTCATCCTGACACTGTTTTGCCATCTGGCTCCGAGGAGTGCGGCAGATGCAGCGCAAGTCGCCGTTCTGCGTCCACCATGCCTTGGTGAAGATCGTCGCATGTGATGTCTGAACTGTCAGTTGTGGGGGCCGCACTTCTTCGCTTGATTTCACTCTAGTCTATTTGGCATTCCTATCTCTCCCAACTGCTCCTTTTGTACCGCACAGAAATTGGCCACGCCCCGCCCTGACGAGTGGACCACACTCTCACGCCTGATCTCCAATTTGTCCGCGACAGCGTCGGAATTGCGGGATTTTGACAGCCACAACCACCGGTTCCCAACCTCCAGCTCGATCGTCTCGTCGGCGGCTCGCCTGTGAACCCAACGGTAGGGACATCTCTCCCTCTCTCCGATTGTGTCCACCTGTGCGACCACAGTTTAGCAAACCACACTGTTAGCCTCCACCTGCCTGCGGGGCTTGCGAGTTCCGTTTCCTCCAGTTTATTGACATTGCAGTAACTCTTCTGCGGACCAAAAATGCACCAATACTAGCATAAACTAAAGACAGGACGTTTATCTCGCCAGGTGTCAAGTCGTGTGTACGTGATAGGCCAGACTGTTTGGATAAGTGATCACCCTTCTCATTTGTCCCTTCGGCCAACTGATGCACCAATCTAGCCCCTTACCTCCTTTACCGGTAGCGGTGCTGAAATAGTCGTGGCCGAGGTAACGCCAATCAACATCCCGTCGATTTACTTAGTCCACATGAAATTAATGACTGCTCCATGCAACCGAGATACCACCACATGCTTCACGCTGTTTGGTCAACGGATGACCAATCAGGAGAGTGGAATAAAAAATCGATCAAAAACCCAACCGGCCAACCGAGAGGGCAATTTAACTTCTTACACTGCAGTTTTAAAAAGCGAAACAGTTGCAACTGCTGCCCCAAAGATTGACAAGTTTATTTCTCTCATAATCCTGTGAATCATAAGTTGTAAAGCTTGTTTTAGACTGCCTCAGTGGTTGAGACGTTTTGTGCTTCATACATCTGTGCGCATATCGCTGTTTCAATACAGTTCTCTTTTTTGTAGATTCAATGTCCTTTTATCTATCGCTCCTGAACAAGAAGAATTCGCCCGCACCACTATGATAACTTCCTTCATTCTTTCTCCGCAACAATTTCGTTTATTTGTATATACATATATATTCGCGTTTCTGAGAGTCTTTCCTTTTATGTCGCATAATTTCCATTCCGGGCGATAGCTTCCCACCATGAAGGTGAATTAGCAAAGTAAATCTGTCTACCTTTGATGCTGATGGCTGAAATTTTATTTTTATTTTGCGATTTCTGCGTTTGCAAACTCACATTCCAACAGCCAATAAATGCGAACAGATGGCCGCAAACGTATTTGTTTCGGGGAAAAGGTGTGTGAACGTTTTATACCGGGCCTGATGACGGTTGGTCGCCTTTTCGGCTCGAAAGCCCTATTTTCATCGGCCGCGCCATCGCATGTTTAAGTTTCACGGAATTAATAGCTACTTAAGTAGCATTCATTGATTTTGACGCCCGCGTAAATAGGGACATATTTTATAGAACGGGTGCATGATGTTTAATTTACTTGGCTTACCCCCCTCGGCATTGTGCCATCAAATTTAGTGCTTAAGGAACGAAAGTATTTTGTAATTACTGAGTGTTATAAATAGTTCATGACTACTCGTGCAATATGCTGTCCTCAGAGTACTTTATCTTCAAATACTACCCCCTTATAGGAAGTTGTGAAGTTACGTGAATTTTTTTTAGAGAAAATGCGTAGCAGGTAGCTCGAAGATCTCAAAAAAAGTGAAGACGCAGGTTCTGTTTTAGGTTCGAATCGACTGCTTAAGCTCATGACTACTCGTGCAATATGCTGTCCTCAGGTTTATAAGAGTACTCTCTCCAAATACCACCTCCTTGTAGGGAGCTGTGAAGGTACGTGAATTTGTTTTATAGAAAATGCGCAGCAGGTCTCAAAAAAGTGAAAATGGCAGGTTCTGTTTTGGATTCGAGGCGACTGCTTAAGTAGGTTTGTAACATCCATGATCGTGCAGCAGAATCCCTAGATGTTTCAGTCATATCAGGATGCCAGCTCCTAAACGACCTTCTTTCCGGCCGTCTGCATAAACTACACGCTGAAAAAGAATGTCTGCTTAAGTACGTTAAGAATTTTCATTTTTTACAGAGTTGGCAGTGAATTACGTCTTCTTCGAAATCTCCACTTGAAGGAAGGGCTTAATTCGGCTTTAGAAATACTTTTCCATTCCCGAGCAGTTTTAAACCCAACCTCTTGTTTCACTTGCATTCGGAGTTTCAAAAACACGAGCAATGTGTATTCAGTGTGGGGAAAATCATGCAATTTTATACGCTATTAAAATTAAACCATTTGGGGTTCATAAGATTTTGGCAGTAGATTTGAACCATATTGTGCACCCTACAAGCAACACTAGTAAATGCGGAGACAGGGTGTTTTACGAACCGTCCTTTCGCGGTCTAAAAAATTCTCGTAGAAACCATTTTTAAATCGGGGGATACTCTTTCTTGAAGTACAAGATCTAAAAAGCGCAGTTTGCTACTGAATAAGTAAAGAAACGAATATTTTTGCCCTTTTTTCCTGTGAGGCCTATCTTAGCTCGTAAGGGCACCTAAAATCAACGAGATAAATTCATAATACATAAGCAGCCACTTTTACCGAGGGCAGTTTTTATCAGTCAGCCCGAAAGAAGCCCGTTCAAAAGCCAGCATCCTGATGCGACTGAAATATCATGGGACTGTGCTGGTCACTAATTAATATTACGACCCTACTCAAGTACTTTTTCGAGTCGAAAACATATTTCAGAATCTTGGTTAACATTTCGTGGGTTAGCACATCTACTGTATACAAGTATCGGCCATTTCAGACCGAAGCGCCTCATTTCGTGAGGTTGCCTCTTTAAAGGTTATGCGTGTTTACTGGTTTAGATAATAAATGGAAAAAATGCCTGCTAACCAAGTAGTTTTTTTATATACTACAGAAGTGACTAGAAGGCCCTTCACTGAAAGCCAAGGCTCTGTTATTTAGGAGTTTACTTGGGGTCGTCCTTCCCGTTAAAGGGATTTTCCGCTTCACACGCGTCACTTGCCAACTGAGTGTAGCGAGACGCCTTCATGCTGCCGTCCGTGAGTAGTCTATCGACCGGATTCCGCCAGTTTTTATGCTTCAGCGCCCACACGCATGCGCCGTAGCTCTTTTTTTTCCACCGACGAGGCCACTTGAAACCGTCGGCCTTGACAGGCCCGAATTGCACGCCCTTGGGTTCCTGCTGGACTGGTTGCCAACACTTAGTTGCCCAGGCGCCAATTCCGTCCCGCGCAGCAAGTGCACCTGACTTCAGCAGTCATATTTAGCAGAAGGGACTCCACTCCAGAAATCTCGTTATGGGTAGTCCGACATGTGCACTAATGGCTCTAAGTTGTCCTTGTTGATTGCGTACTCCGGCAATTTCACCAATATGCTCTTTGTATGAATAAACCCCCTGGAGTACGTCAAATACAGCGCTGCATAAGACGATCACAATCGAGTTTTAATCACTGACCTCTGACGTCAATTTTTCCCCGAAAGGCTTCTTCGTCCCAATGGTACAGTGCGTGACCGATCTCATGAAATGTTGGCCGAAATCCGTTTTCGATTAGGAAGGATTACTTCAGTGGTGGTGTAATAGTGATTAGCGTGCGACATAATCATATAATATTTCGGACTCGCCAGGATGTCGGCTTTTGGATGCACTCCTTTTTGACCTCCTGCAGAAACCGTACTCGGAAAAAATAGCTACTTAATTAGCATGCATTTTTTGGATTTTCGATGGTCTTATAAATTCAGATCTGTTTTATAGAAAACAGGCACAAAAATAAGCTTTTTTACTCATTTGGTAGAAAATAACACCGTCCTTTCATTTTATGCACGAAGAAAGTGTATGCTTAGGTTTTAAAAAAGTTTTGGATTGTGCGATTTTTAAGACCGTGCGATGTCCACGCATACAGGGCCGCACATGTCCGTTTACCACTGCTGCTCATGACGTATACAACACAGTTCGGATCCATTGCGAACTTTTATGAACACTATGTGGTATCATCTTAAAGGCATAGAGGAATATATGATTTTCCTTACGCGGAAAGCATGCATCTTGTTGACAGAAATCACTGAACACTGATGCAATGACAGTCAGGCTCAAAAATATTCGAATGGTACGATGTTAAGCTAGTGTTATTTCCCGGGGCAACTCTCAGCAGTTCCTGTTCCTAGTCTTCTCTAGGATTCACCATTCCGTTCCTCTTCTGATCGAAAAAATGGATTTGACTGACTCCTCTCGTTTGCTTTGTTGGCTACCCGCGCTTCGAATTTCAAATCAATTCTCTGTGTTACGTGTTTTAAGCAAAAAGACGATTTCGTCAACTTGTCGACGCCGTCCTTCCGCAGCGGTCAGATGTCTTGAGAAATACAGAAGAGATCGAACCGTTTTCGCGGTCTCCTAACGCCAGACGATAAGTTCTTTCTTAAAACCCATAACGCACTGGAACTGCTGGTACACTTTGCTCCCAAACACCTTGTTCCTCCTGTGTGTTTCAGCGTCGGGTATGATGCAGGGGGGAGGCGCGTGTTGAGATGGTCGTCATCGTCGTTGAAACCAATCGGTTTTTTCGTCACTGTGGTAAATCTGATTCGCAGGTCTGCCTCACCGCAAACAAATTTATGCGCGACTCGCCACCGTACCGGCCATGTGTGACACTAGTGGACCTCGCCACGCGTGACAGTTATGTCAAAAACGGGTTGGGCCTCTGTTGCAGACGGCTAAAAAAGCTCTGGCTTTGCTGTTGTCATTCGAGTCCGTGAGTAATTAAACCTGGATGTGGGCGCCTGTTGCATGACGCACCAACCACTGTGGCAAACGACAGTGCTCGAACCTGAGGGTGTTTTCGCGGGAGGGCGAGGAGATCTGGGCCGATCTGACTCGAATACTGCGCATTCTTAATTATCAAAGGCGGAGAAAGCAACAGTTCGGCCGCCGCAAGCGATGGTCTCTATCGCGTTCTACATGAGACGACCGCGGCATCGGAGGCGGACGCGAGTTGTAGTGAGACGGACTTGCGAGACATCTGTCGCGCACTCTCCCCCATCACCCACCAAGCTTCAGTGGCTGACTATGTTAGGCGGCCCGCCTTTGCGTGGCTCATACGACGTGGTTTGCGCTACCTGTGCCAGGCGACCCGGATGTCACATGAGTGGAAATTTCGCAAAGGCGACATTAAGAATGAGTCATTGCAGCCTTACTCTCAGTCCTGAAGACCGCGGAAATGTCCTATCA